CTGAAGATTAATAAACATACTAACAACTGGCTGTGAAATGGAAAGTGGTAAAAAGAATATAAAATGTTACCATCAGTTTAAATCAAAAGTTAAAATACTGAGGTTTACTGTGGTAAAATGTTTCCCCCTTTTTAGCAAGGGGGAGAAAAATCAGATCAGAGATACAGGCAAAGCACAGTTTATTGCTGTTCGACACACATGATTTTAAAATCACATTTTCAAGGGCTTCTCACTCTCTTAAAAATCAGTACAATCTTGCAAAACATTCAATTTTCATGGGAAAAAAGTATGTTTTTTGGCTGTAGCCATTTCTGTAGACAGAATTAAATTATGACTGAATGCTATAAGGTACCTCAAATTTCTAAAAGCCAGAAATTTTATCTATTTTCTCCCATCCCCAACTAGTGTTCCTACTCTTTCAAAGACCTGTCTCACTTGTCAGGCATACTCCTTTTTAGCTCTACACAGGAGCTTGTCTCATAAACCATGAGTAATGCTGCTCTGAAGAAAAAAGAATTATGAGCCCGTGCAAATGGAGAGCTAGTAATACGCACCGCATGTATGTTTTAGAAAGCCACAAATTTAAATCCTGGTCTTGCACTACGAGTGCTCTTCCAGTTCAAAAGTCACAACGTCAGCCTAAATTCTTCTGATATCCAGAGCAACTTGCTAGTACTCTGGACTGCAATTTAGTTACAGTTTTGCTGCACACGAGATAATTTTCTCAGTTTTACAACTGGGCCAGTTCCACACTGCAGATACAAATGTTAACCCCCAAATGGCAGCAGATGCTGAATATCAATGGCCATTCTGCTGGGGCCTGTGCACTTGTGAACACTCATAAACTATCCATTAAATAACGAGCTATTCCTACAGATAACAACGGCAGTACTCCCGCCCCACTACGGTGTTCTTGGAGCAGCCTCAATTAGCACGACGAAAGCAGGAGAGCAGTTTTTGAAGTTATCGTTGCCTCTTGGCAAGCTTGCTGTCACGTTTGGATATGTCAGGAGGAGGATGCTGCCCTGCTTTGCTTTTGCCATTCAGAAGCAATAGGACCGGAGTCCCTGCTCCTTGCTGCCGAGGGACCTTGCACAGCACCTCCCAGTCTGCCAAACTCCTCTGTCACAGCTCCCTCAGGCAGGGCAGACCGAGGCACGGGACCGGCTGTGAAAACAGAAGGTCACCCCCTGAGCCGAAGTCATTCTCCTTCTCTATGCATCATGGAGTTGAAAAGCAGTCTGCACGCAGAGTTGATTTTTGCCTCTAGACAGACTTTCTATAGAAGGGAATTAGCAATTGATATAAAAGGGACAAATTAGGTGAGACATGCTGCTGATGATAAATTCCTTTTTTTTTTTTTTTTTAAACTTCACAGGAACAAGAGGATGATCTCTGGTTAAGAGAACCCCAGCACTGAAGGGAAAGGACAACGTCAGCTTCTTGGCCACAGCCATTTCGGAGAGTAATGGGCCACCGCACAACGCCCAGGCTGTCCACAGATATGAGAATCGAATTGAGCAAAAGAAGCAAACAATCAAGAGGCTGGATTAGGCAGGAGGAAAGTTCTACTAATTCCAAGCAAAAACAGCGCTGTCAAGTTTGCCATCTTCTGGAATGGGTGATTAAGATGCCTTTTTTTTTTTCTGGAGATAGAGCTGCAAATAAGAACACCAGAAACATTCTTTTCATCTCTGCTCCCTTTATTTCCCTTTTATATGCATTAGCTCTGTTTCATCTTCAAGAGAGCAGATCAGACTATTTTTCCTCTTTTCCCTTTTGCTGATCAGTTAACTCCACCTTTGTTAACATCTAGCAGATCAATTGTCTCTGTTTTCTTGTAAGAATGCTAAAACTAAAAGGGAGGGGACAACAGTAAAAAGACACGTTAAAATATAAGCCTTACCTAATACTTGGACTTCAAAGATATTCTCTTTTTCTACCTATAATACTGCAAAGTCCCACACCTTGTTTAACACTGGGTACATATATGCAAATATTTTAATTCAGCTCAGGAGTGTACTTGTAAAGTCCACTTACGGTGCTTTAGCTTGCATAGCAGAACTGTCTCAAAGCGTGCGAACAGGACTCTTTTCAGACAAAACTGAACTGAAAATGGACTCCAGTGGGTGCTCAGTCCATATGACCGGACCAAAGCAAATCCAAAGAAAATGCCCAAAACCCATCAGGTGCTGCACACAAACAAGTTTGCTCTACAGATCTGCTCCTACTGAACCATTTTGCTTGCTAATGTAGACACATTCAGTGTGTAGCATTATGCAGCTCGCTCTCTTTTTTTTATTGTTTAAGGAATGAGATGTATTTGAAGTGAAGAGTTTAAACAAGGCAGCACACAAGTGCTCTGTGACAGGGCTGGTTTTAGCACCTGTGACAGGATGGTGCTGCCTCTTAAAACTTCTTCCATCTCTTACCCATTAAAACCAGTTGTTTGCTTCCCCTTCAGTAAGGTTCTTGCTTCGCTGACCAGCTGGGGACTTGATTTGGGATAAGTCATCAGCTATGGGTGACCACAGGGAGAATTTCACTGAGCTTAAAAAAAAATCTTCAGGATGCAGAGAGCAGGAATAAGCAGAGGATGTACAAGCATTGGTGAGAGGTAGAAGAAGAGGAGGTAAGACCACTCACAAGCAAAGCAGCTGGTTTCTGGCACCTATTCAGTAGGAACGCGTTCCTTTCTGCAGGTCACTGCTACATCTGTAGATGAGGGAACACTTCCCCAGTGCTCTTCCTGGCACACCAGCAGGGTCAGTTCTGGCTCAGGGCTGTAAATGGTACGTTGGCCACCCTCCATATTCTGCAGCGGAACATGCCAGGTAGCTTGAAAGCCACCATGTAATAGTATGGCCCAATAAACATCTTTAATTCTTTGGGATCACACAGCCAGGTTATAAATAAGATCAACCTAAAATCTTAAACGCACAGTGCCACGAGGCCTCCTGTATTCTGGCTTACACTTTGAGCGGTGACGGCAGGGAAGAAATCTGTCTCCTCTCACGGGAGGAGAAGAGCAGAAGGACAGAAACCCTCTTCTCTCCTTCACACCGCGGCAGGGGCTCCCTCCCTTTCTCCACCAAGAGGCTAGGACAGCACTGGTTCAGAGCGGCAACTGGAAAAGCAACACTGTGGGTACGGAGCTGAGACCACTGGTGTCTTCCATGATGACCTAAAGATAGAGTTTCTCCTGGGGAAACACCGGGCCCTGGGCCTACTGAAGAACGAAAGGTAGAGTACATCGCTCAAAATACATTTTCATATGGTTGCCAGACATCAGTGTACTAGACAGAGCACAATTTTTAAAATGACAGGGTCCAGAGCTGTGCTTCAACCAGTATTACTGCTGTTGATAATATTGCCAAATTGCAGCCTAATTTATTCAAAGGTTGTTAATGCAAATTTTCACATACAGGAAGTCTGAAGCAAGTTTTTAATTTTGTACAATCTGAGTAATGGACTCTATTCTAGTTGTATTCTTTGCTTCAAAATTGCAGGATGTATAAAAGTTCTCTCTGATTTAAATACAAAGCTGTGACTAAAATCCCCATAATTTGCTCAGCAATGTGCTGTTACAATCTTCCCTTGTTCACTGGGAAAACGCGGTGCCCTTTAGGACAACTCTAATTTTTGGTTTTGGTTGCTCTTCCTTCCTCCTTCTCTCATTTCTCCCCTTACATTTAAAATTTTTTCAGTAGTGTCAGGATGTTAACAGTTTTAAATGACCTCTTTTGGTTATTTCAGATCATGATTAAGTGAATACTCTTATTCTGAATCAAGAGAGTCCATTCAGGCTACTTCTTCAACAGTAATTCAGCTTTCTCTGGAAAGTAAAGTAAGAAATTGCAAAGTCCTCTGTGATTCTTCCTCTTTTTCAGAAGGCTGCTTTTAGCAGTTTCTGGTGATCTCCCGACCCATGAAACCCTAGAAAGAGTTGTCACAGTAGAACTGCACAGTGTAGATGGCAAACTGCATCACAGAGGGAGAAAGAGGCAACAACTTTTAATCCGTCTTTGGAACAGAGTATCGCCCTTCATCCTCATGGTCTTGGTCAGAAATAATTCAGCAGTTTTAGCTGCAGCCAACAAGAATATTTTTCTTCCTGAATCTTTGCAAACACCTGAAATGAAGTGAAGGAAAAGCCATACCTTGCCTGTCCTAATGCCATTTCTAGCTTTTAGAAATGCCTTTCATTTATACCCCATGCCATCCTATGAAGTGGTCATCAGTGCTAGCTGCATTACCAACAGGCTTAAGGCTTTCAGTCACCTTAAAAAGATTGTAAGCTAAGCTGCAATTAAATGAACATTTCTTTGCTAGTGCTGGGTTAAGGAACTCTTGTCACTCTCCTCTCCTGTTGCTCTGGAGTGGTGCTTGGCCTTTCCTTTTAATGTAATGGTATAATGCTTTACTAGCCATCCATTAAGCAGGAAAGCTGGAGTCAATCCCCTCTGCCTGAGTGGTTCAACCTACATGACCTGCAAGAGTACCAAACTACAGGCAAGGCTGTTTTGTGTGCCTTTAAGCCTTCTGTCTGAAGTTATGCCTTCAATTGCATGGAATTAAGAGATATTGAGCTAGGGAGAAAGGACAGGGAAATGTGCAGCTCTAGCCTCCTGGTTTGGTATACATTTTAGGTACGCAGGGGAAACGGATGCGAGTGGGTTTCCAGTCCCTGATCCCCAGACTTCTAATAAAAAAATATAAAGATCCATTAAGACTTTATGCAAAAGAGACCGTGGTCTACCTCAGGAAGGGACACTGTGCTGCCTCAGTGGCTTAGTGTCAACACTGTACGTGAAACATTTGTAATGGCACACACGAATCTCAGATTTAATGAATCTATTGACTGCAATGGGCATCTCTTCTTATCATTAAGATCTTCTTATCATTTTGCTTACACCTAAGACACCAAGCACAAAACAGCCTTCCAATGTCACGTTCTAGCTTACTGCCACTAAGAAGCAAGAAGGAATTCTGAGAGTATGTTGAAGGTACATTCTGCAAAGGCATCACTCTATTGTAGGCACCTGCCTCCACACACACTTTCTAATGCCTTTTCTGCATCAGCACTTGTTAGACTAGTCCCTTGGTTGGCTCAGGTCACTAACCTGCTAGAAAACTATCTGCTTTTTCTGGTTTAGGTTTCTGCCAGGCAAGTAAATTCAATCAGATCGCAATTAAAGTACCAGAGACAGACACAGGAGAAAGGAAAGCAGGACTTTTCCTGTTCAGTTGTGGCAAAGCTGCTAGATTAATTCATGCTGACTTATGTGCGTGTCTTGTATATGTTTCCTATTACTTCATTTTTTCTTTATAGAAGAAGTTTGGTTTAACTAACTTCTAAGTTAAGTTCAAAATAATAGCCAGTTCAGTCCCCTATATCTATCCTTGATACGAAGAACGTTTTGGTTCAGTTTGATCTTACACATCGTAGATTAAATCAGGCAGAAATAAGTCTGGTCTAGTCCACCATTATAAAGTGATACAATTTTTCTTGCATCTCTTTTTAAAAATTGTACTTCTAGTTAGCCAAAGTAGCTTTATTTTGACAGGTCACACAGCAGCAGCTGTAACACTTCAAATATACTTCTAGATTCAGAGAAAACCTTGTATTTCCTTTCTGCTAGGTGACTACACCACCAAAAGCTTTCAAAACCCAAAGTTTCACTGGGCATCTGCAGAGATTTATGTAGCTAGCATGTATACACACACTTGAATTTACATTTTGGGAGCTATAACCTCCTTCTCAATTGTTAGCCCGCACCATAACTCCAGCCCCACTTAAGCATTTTACAGGTGACTTCACTATCTCATGTTTAGATAAGCATAAGCAGCATAGGTTTTGCAACATGCTTTGCATTGCAGGTGGAGCGCAGCACAACATCCCAGTTCTTCTGGCCACTTAGCTAGCAGGCTTTGCTCACCCTACCTGGTAGTCCCCGTGATGCCACGCCACTCCCGCATAGTTCCACGATTGCTGCAGACACTAATAATGGCTCTTGGCAGAGACCTCCCTGCACTCGGACAG